TCCTTCGGCGACTCGGCGCCCTGTTGGACCGTCTTGGGGGCCTCCTGGGCTGTCATGGAAGCCTTGGAGAGCCCCAGGGAGGCGCCATGGCCGCCCAGGGACCCCGCCGTAATGGGGGCGACTCAGGGAGGCGGGACCGAGGGGCGGGGTGTGGAGGTCCGACAGAAGACTACAGAACTTGTGCCAGACAGCCCTGGGAATTTTTCCACGCCTCAATGTGCCGCAGGCACGGTGGCGGACCTGCCCTCCACTGTCATTGCTGTAAGAGGTAGAAAGAATAATAGCCAGAAGGTGCAAGGGAGTGTGCAGCGATAGTCCAGCTTTGGTAATGGGCTGTCCTCCATCCGTGTGTAGTCGGCATTGTTGAACAATCGCATGTTCCTGGTAATCTAATATGAGGAAGTGTCCTTCGAGAGCCCTGTCTGAAAAAGAAAGCAGCAAGACGGCCCAAGATGTGCCCACGACGGTACCACAACGGCCGCACGATACCTCCAAAGATGGACTCCCCAACATGCGTCCAAGAGTTTCCATTTTGGTCTGGAAGCTTTGATGCGTCCCATCCACGTTTTTATCAAACGGGTCCACGCCCGCCCGCGGATCCCAGAGACCCCCCATCTTGAGGCGAAGGGCCCCTTGTACCCGCTCATCGGTATCTCCCATGCTCTCTTGAAGCCATCCTCGACCTAGAAGTTGGAATCCCAGAAGCCCCCCTAGACCTAGGAGCTCCGGGTGTTTAAAACTGGTTTTGGTCAAGTGGGGATCTTCTGTGGGCTCTCTCTTGGCCGTCTTCGAACAGTTTTGAAGCCTCTCGGGCCCTCCTCGGCCGACGCGTCCCGCGGCGAACGGCCCCTCTCTTACCCACAGGTCCCAGAGCAACCCCTGCGAGGCCTTCCCTCCCACTGGGTAAAGGGGATCTACGCATGGGGCTCACCTCCTTGGTATCCTGGGCTTCATGTTCGGTCTGTCTGGACAGAGTCTCGGAGTCGACTGGAACCTAAGATCGCGCGTAGCCCGCGTGTTTCTGGTGCACACAGATACATGCACACATACATGCATGCATGCATGCATACATACGTACGTACGTACGTACGCACGTAGGTTACGTACGTACGTACGTAGATACGCACCATCATACAAACATATATACATACATGCAGACACACACACACATGCGTACAGACAGACAGACATACAACACAACTATACATGCCTACATACATACATGCATGCATACACACATACCTATACATACCTATATATATGTATATATATACATACACACACATACATACATACATACATACATACATACATACATACATACATACATACATACATACATACATACATACATACATACATACACACATACATACATACGGGGTACATACCTACATACGGGCGTACGTACATACCTACATACGTGCGCACACCTACATCCATACTCATATATACATATATATACACATACTTATGTAGCAATTCATGGTTCTCGTGTTGGTAGCACTGCGTGAAGCACCCTGGGCGTTCGAGGAACGCCGCAGGAAGACGGGATCGACGGCTCTTTTACTTGGTTCACGGTGTTGTGATCTTTTGTCACGACGACGGATGTTTTGCTTGGCGCCGCGGATCGCGAGTTTTGAAGGGCAACCGGCCGTACCCACAGGAATCTGGCGGGCGGGCCCGTTTAGGCACGCGCTCGATATACTCACCTGTCGGGCTCGCGAGAGGGACTCTCGGGAGAAGTTTTCCAATTGCGAGACACGTTTTTTATTTCAATTGGAATTCTTGATTTTTGCGAAGAGATAGGAGATAGGACGTCTTTGAGTTCTATCCAGCCTTTGCACACAAACACACCTATTTCTACACCGTACCTGCGTAAGCTGCTCTTTCTCAGTTTGCCGGGACGGTGGCGACTGGAAAAAACATCGTCATCGTCATCAGATTTTCTCATCGGCATCTTCATCAGCATAACATCCCTCATCCATGACCCGCCAGGGACACGCGCAATACGGCACAGCAGCGCCTTTCTTCAAAGCGTCACTACGTGTAATATTGCAATTCCCACAGTCTGTTTTCATAATTGAAGGCATAACTGAAGACATATCGCCGTAAACGATCGTGGTCAAGCTTATGGCTACACGTCTGTCACTAAACAGTCTCGATGTTTCATTGATCCGTTTTCGAACGAGAGCGGTCCTTTGAACAATGTTGGGCCATCTCGGATCAATGGTGGGCCATTATAATACTGTCTTGAGCCATCTTGAGGCCCTCTTGAGCCGTCTCGGAGGCATATCAGGCCACCTTAGGAGCATGTCGGAGGCCATTGAGCCTCCCTCCTCAAGAGGTTTGCTCTCCTTTGTCTGGAGGGCCGCCGAATTCTTCACGCATTTCGTATTCCCAACCAGCCCATCCATTGGATGCCTTGATCAGGGAAGTTGAGCAATACGCAATGGAACTAGGAGGCAGGGGAGCCTATACGTGCATTCGCGCTTGGAAGGATGATGGCGATACTGCTGTTGATGATGCTGATGGTGATGATGCTGATCATGGTCATGATAATGCTGATGATGATTATGATGATGACGATGCTGATGATGATGCTGATGGTGATGATAATGATGACGATACTGATTGCGGTGATGCTGATGCTGATGGTGATATCGATGATGTTGATGTTGATGCTGATGCTGACGATGACGATGATGTCTATGATGCTGATACTGATCATGATGGTCATGATGAGGATAATGATGATGATGCTGCTGATGATGATGACGATGTCGATGATTATGATACTGATGATGGTGATGGTGGTGATGATGTTGATGGAGGCAGGGCAGTCTATACGTGCATTCGCGCTTGGAAGGATGATGATGAGGATGTTACAGCTGTTGATGCTGATGCTGATGGTGATGATGCTGATCATGATCATGACAATGATGATGACGATGATGATGATGATGCTGATGATGACGATGCTGATGATGATGATGATGCTAATGGTGATGATGATGCTGATGACGATGCTGGTGACGGGGATGCTGATGCTGATGGTGATGGCTGTGATGATGATGATGATGATGATGATGATGATGATGATGATGATAATGTTGATGTCGATGCTGACGATGATGATGAAGATGATGTTGATGATGCTGATGCTGATGATGATGGTCATGATGAGGATCTTAATGATGCTGATGATGATGACGATGCCGATGATTATGATGTTGATGATGATGGTGGTGATGATGATGATGCTGATTGTTGGAAGGGTGATGTTGAAGGAGGAGGGGGAGGATGAAACAGAGGAGGATGAGGATGAGGATGAGGGAGGAAGATAGTGGCGGCAACGACGACGGCCACGATGGTGGCGACTTTGGGTGTCTCTGTAAAATTCTCTGTGCCATCTTGCTGCGAACCACGATCATTCTCAACGACCTGGTCGCGATTTGGAGTGCTTCAGGGGGCGGCTCTGGGCCATCTTGCGCCATCGGGGAGGGCTCGTCGGGCCATCTTGGGGTCCTGGTTGGCCGTCTTGGGGCTCTCTTTCAGCCCGTTTGCCGGAGCTACCGAGGATGTCCAGGAAGCCCAGGCGGCGGCCGAGGGAGCGCCTTGCATGGCGCGTCCAGGAAGTCGAAGTCTGGGCAGGCCGAAATTCGCTAGCCTCGATCCGTGTGAGCTTCGTCTGGGGTCCCCGGCCTTCATACAGATACTTCAACAGTTGTACGTAGATACATACATATGTGTATGTATATATCTATATATGTATATATACACATATTTATACATATATGTACATACACACACAAGGTGTATGTGTTTATCCATACATGTGACACTTTTGCAACAGGTTGGGGTGGGCTTCCGAGGCACGGAGGATGCTGCGTTGCGACAACCCCCCGATTCGCGACGTCGTTCCCCCAGGAGTATTGTGTCCCCCCCAGCTATTGGTTGTTGCAGCTATTCTGCGTGTGATTCTCACAATGTATACGCATGTTTGCCAGCTCGGATCCCAAACAGTGAGTCTTTGCACCCTGGAAGCGCAAGCGATGTGATGCTAGCTATGTTGGGTAAGACACGTGGCCTCTTCTATGTGCCGGAAGCTTTATCGTGTAAGCTAGAATGTGTCAACTATGCAGTGCAAGTTGTGTCCTGCAAGCTATGTGGCTGCATGCGTGCGATGTAAGCTATGTGGCACAAGCTAGTTGGCATAGCCTGTGTGGTTCAAGCGACGTCTTGCAACCCATCTGGTAAAACACGTGTTGTGCAGCCTGCGCGGTGCGAGCCGTTCTGTTCCAGCTACAGTGCCGTTTTTAATGCATGCTTCGAGTGCGGATCATGTATTAAAAAATGTAGGGATTCAGTATTAAAAACAACGATGAGTTCATGCATAAATTCATTCGTAAATTAATCATGTATTTAAAAGTATTCGATTAAGTTAATCATGTATTAAAATCCCATGCATCAAAACCTGCCCTGTACATCGTGCACGCTGCGTGGTGCCAGCCTTGGCGGTGCAGACTCCGCGGCGCGTAAGCAGCGCGGCCCGCGCCCCGGCTGCCGCCGATGCGCCCACGGGGCGGCACCAGGCGCGTACCGGGCGGGCACCGAGGCGACCCACCTGCCCGTCACGAGGTGCCCACGAGGGGTCGCCGGGCAAAGCCCAGATCGCCTTTGCCGATTTATAGCGGAGGTGGATAGACCATCGAAGGGTCGCCGGGCAAAGCAGGGCCGGGAACCGGGTTCACCGGGCAAAGCCCGGTTCGCCTTTGCCGATTTAAGTCGGGCCTGTCCCTCAGGGAGAATATTTAGAAATAGTCAAACAATAGTCTTGGGACCATTTTTTAACTATTTTTGATCATCTTTGGAGTTATTTTTGAATTTTCTTTTGGTCGCCTCAAATCCCCCTGCTGTAGGGGGACATGCCCGACCTAACCGTAAGTCGGAAATGGATAGACCTCCTACCCTGACACGTCGATGAAGGAATTGGCCGTGTTTTCGGCTCGCGAGGGCGCGTCGCGGCCGTCATTTTTGCGGGTCCAGGTCCGTCGGTTTCGGTCCCAGGCCGGTTTCACTAAGGGGAGGTTTACTAAAGGGAGGTTTGTCCACCGCTGCTTATAGGAGGAGAGAGAGGGAGAGAGAGAGAGAGAGAGAGAGAGAGAGAAAGAGAGAGAGGTCAGGTCCTCGTGGTGCCAGCGCTGTGCGGGGCACGCCTGCGTACATGCGGATTTTAGAAAGCAGACGCAAGGCTGTGATGTCGGTCGACGCGCGAAACGCGACCCACGGGGTCAGATTCTTGTCTTTGCAGTTGCCAATTTCGGCGCAAACGTTGACATGTTGGGGTCCTGGGGCGCCGCTACGTCGCGGGAAGAGGTGCGTTTGGTTTCGAGAGGGGATGTACACATACATGGGCATTTGGGCTTCAACCGATTTCTGGGCTCGTCGCCCTTTCCCGTCGATCTACTGGGGCAGCGGTCTCCGAAGGTCTCCAGAGGCCAGGGGAGGCCCAGAAACTACCCAAAGAAGCGACCTAAAGCGTAACAGTAATCGCAAATTGCAACCCCCAAAGTCGTGATTGTTCCGCGACGTAAACACCTGGGAGTCTCGACGCCTTCCCCAGTACCGGCTTTTCATCCTGGGCCGTCTTTTGATGTTCCCGGGGCTTGGTGAGGGCACCCTGGATGTGGAAAATGACCAAACACCGTCCGCCAACATTGGATGCCGAAAGCTGTCAAAAGTGTTTCCTCGACGTGAGGGGGTTTGGGAACTAAGGCGGAACATCTGTTCCTGGAACTCTCCCTGGGATGCGTTCCAGGCAGGATCTCGCGAGTAGTCCACCCTTAGCGACGAGGAACTTCGCGGAGGCCCAGCCAAGCAGAAACGCACAGACGCAACAAACATACAATCAACGCAAACAGCAAGTTGCATCATGCAAGCCACATAATTACAGGAGGGCCCTCCCCCTTTCCTTTCAGGGGGGGAGCAGCGCTCCTGGCGGCGAACGATGTATCGTTCTTCCTCCTCGGCTGCTCTGGCTTCGGAGCTGCGGCGTTTCAGCTTGTACTGCGTGCTACAAGCCGTGTGATGCCGAGAGACGTGGCTCTGGCGATGCCGGGCCGCTCAAACGAATATCATCAGTCTTGGGCCCCATGTGTGTTCACATTTCTTGGGTTCACATTCCCCCAGGTCTGAGGCTGCAAAACAGTTACAGCATCGCCCAACAAATCATGACCCGAGCCCTCGGCCCCATCTTGCAGCCCTATCTTCCGAGCCCGACCGACCTGTGAGGGTCCCGGGGCCCGAACTTGGGTGGCAAAAGCTGCGTCGCCAGCATCTCGGGGCTCTTCGAACCTCGAGCCCTGAGGGTCCTGGCGCCGCCGTCGCCGCCGCTGCCGCCGCCGACGGCCTCGCTGCCGACCGACGTCAGACGTCGACGCCGTCGCCACACGTCGGCGTCGACGTCGACGTCGTCGCCGTCGCCGTCGGCCGCCGAGCGGCACCGGACGCCGTCGGCGCCGCCACCCTCGCCGTCGCTGTCGCTCCAGGTCGAGGCCGCCGGCAGGGCAGGGCCAGCCCCGCAGTCAGCATCGATCCAGGAGGTAGAGGATCGAAGAGGAGGAGGAGGAGGAGGAGGACCAGAGGAAACCCAAGAGTCATCAACGATGTTGGAATAACCCCTCGCTCCAAGCTCCCTTTTCATGGGCCCCTGCAACGGTTCATTTCCTCTGAGGGAGCTGCCTCGTCGGAAGACAACCGTTTGAAGACCCTGAAGCATGCCAAAACAACATTATTGGGATTCCAACGCCGTGGATCCTCCTGACTGGTGCGCCTTGGCGATCTTGAATCGCGCCAGAACGCCATTTTTAAGACTTCAACACACAGCGAATCAACATAACTCTTGCGCTCTCGGAAAATTGAACCCTTCCAAGAACATTGTCTTGCTACGCTGATCATGGGAATCCGTAAAACTCGTGCCATTTTTAAAGACGAATGTGCGCGGCGCTAAGGCGAGAACCACATTTTGAAAAGGAACCGCCTTCATTCCGTGAAACCCTTGCAAAGTGTTAAACATAATGTACGCCGCGCTCAAGCGATAGCCGCATTTTGAGAACCACCCGCCCTCAATCCGCGAAACTCTTGCCAGTTTATAAAGCACTTGTGCGCCGCGCTAACGCGAGAGCCACATTTTGAAGACCACCCGCCCTCAATCCGTGAAACCATTGCAAATTTTGAAACGAATCTGCGCTGCGCTCAGGCGAGAGCCACATTTTGAAAACCACCCGCCTTCAATCCGTGAAAGTGTTGCTTCAGGGTCATAAGTGGTGAGGAAGTTTCATGCGAAACGCCCAGCCCGCCCTAAACACCGGCCTCGGGGTGCGACAGGGAGAAGCTATTTATAAAGACAAAAGAAAGGATGAGGAGGAGAAGGAGGAGGATCGAGGATCGAGGATCGAGGCTCGAGGCTCGAGGCTCCAGGTCGCCGTTGCCCTCGGCGCCTCGCGTGGCCCCAGGTCGAGGCCGCGCGCGCCGAGGCCCCCGCCGCGCCGCCGCCTGGGGGCCCGCCGGAGGCGCGCGCGCGGCCGCCGCCGCCCGGCGGCCAGCGGCGGCCCTCGGCGGCCTTCGCCCAGGAGCAACAGTTCGACGCTCGCTCCCAGATCTCCGAGGATCAGAGGAGGGAGAGGTACCCATACCGCTACCCTCGCCTCGTGTTCCGCTTCTCGGGCCTCCCGGGAGGCCCTCGTCGCCACCGCTGGACTCGCCTCGAAATGCTGGTCAGGACGCACCTTTTGGGAGAGATCCGGGGAGCAGAGCGGCATCGGTACACCCGTGGGCTTGCCCAGAGCATAGTGATGGTCTTTCAATATTGTGAAGGCCTTATGGCCGGTGCCGCCGACCCTGAAGGTTCTGGCCGTCGATGGCGACGGGATGTGTGATCGCAGGGAGGAGCTAAAGGACAGCGTGACAGGGTAGGCGGAGGAGGTGTGTGAGGAGGAGGAGGAGGAGGAGGAGGAGGAGGGGGAGGAGGAGGAGGAGGAGGAGGAGGAGGAGGAGGAGGAGGAGGAGGAGGAGGAGGAGGAGGAGGAGGAGGAGGAGGAGGAGGAGGAGGAGGAGGAGGAGGAGGAGGAGGAGGAGGAGGAGGAGGAGGAGGAGGAGGAGGAGGAGGAGGAGGAGGAGGAGGAGGAGGAGGAGGGAGGAGGAGGAGGGAGGAGGAGGAGGAGGAGGAGGGGAGGAGGAGGAGGAGGAGGAGGAGGAGGAGGAGGAGGAGGAGGAGGAGGAGGAGGAGGAGGAGGAGGAGGAGGAGGAGGAGGAGGAGGAGGAGGAGGAGGAGGAGGAGGAGGAGGAGGAGGAGGAGGAGGAGGAGGAGGAGGAGGAGGAGGAGGAGGAGAGGAGGAGGAGGAGGAGGAGGAGGAGGAGGAGGAGGAGGAGGAGGAGGAGGAGGAGGAGGGAGGAGGAGGAGGGGAGGGAGGGAGGAGGGAGGGAGGGGGGGAGGGAGGGAGGGAGGGAGGGAGGGAGGGAGGGAGGGGGAGGGAGGGAGGGAGGGAGGGAGGGAGGGAGGGAGGGAGGGAGGGAGGAGGGAGGGAGGGAGGGAGGGAGGGAGGGAGGGAGGGAGGGAGGGAGGGAGGGAGGGAGGGAGGGAGGGAGGGAGGGAGGGAGGGAGGGAGGGAGGGAGGGAGGGAGGGAGGGAGGAGGGAGGGAGGGAGGAGAGGGGAGGAGGAGGAGGAGGAGGGAGGAGGCGGAGGAGGAGGAGGAGGAGGAGGAGGAGGAGGAGGAGGAGGAGGTTCAGGGGGAGGAGGAGGAGGAGGAGGAGGAGGAGGAGGAGGAGGAGGAGGAGGGGCAGGAGGAGGAGGAGGAGGAGGGGGCGGCGGAGGAGGGGGCGTGGGCTCGCCCAGCGCACAGTGGTGTCCTTTCCATATGCCGACCCACTGCGCTTTTCCTGGACGTCGGCCTCTGGTGCCCGCCCGCCGTCGGGCCACGGGACCATCGGACCTGGATCTGGGAGGAGAAGCTTCTCCTGTAAGTTTAAATCGGGCCTGTCCCCCAGGGAGAAGATTTAGAAATAGTCAAATACTAGTCTTGGGACCATCTTCTGACTATTGTTGATCATCTTTGGGGTAATTTGTGAGTTGTTTTTTCCTTTTTCGCCCAAAATCCCCCTGTAGGGGGACATGCCCGACCTGACCGTAAGTCGGAAGTGGATAGGAGTCCTGCCCTGACACGTCGATGAAGGAATTGGATGTTTCCGGCTCGCGAGGGGGCGTCGCGGCCGTCATCTTTGCGGGTCCAGGTCCGTCGGTTTCGGTCCCAGGCCGTTTTCGCCAAGGGGAGGCTTCCTGAAGGGAGGCTTGTCCACCGCCGAGGAAGGGAAGGGGCCGGGGCTGCTTAGGTGGCCACAGGCGAACCCTACCCCTCCCCCTCAGAAATCGTGGGGGGTAGGGGTAGGGTTCGCCTGTGGCCCCCTAGGAGGGTGCCTGGGAAGGTGGACGCTGCTCCGAGGAGCCTCCAGGGTCCCAGAGCCGGAGGGGGCTCTGAGGAGGACTGGCATGGGTTCGGGCGAGCAGGAGGGGCAGCGAGAGCCGAGGTTCTGGGTTTATGTCGGGCCTGTCCCCCTACAGGGGATTTTCGACAACAAATAAAGAGCACCCCAAAGGAGCCCCAACAAGGTAAAACAATATTCAAAGAATAGTCCCCAGACAATTTGGGAACCGTCAGGGTTCATTTCAATTCGGCTTCGGCCGCCCCGGTCCGCTTCGCTTCGGGCGTCCCGACGATCCGGTGCGGCCCGATGTTTGCATAACAGCGCCGTTGTGCGTCTCGGCGCGGCCGACACGACTCGATTCCGATTCCGAGCCGATGCAGCCCGATCCGATGCACATTCCGTTTCAATCCGATTTCCTGATTCGATGATGATTGATCTTGCCGTCTTGGGGCCCGTCTGGCGGATCTGCTCGGCTCTGTTTAGCTCGGGTGTTGTTCGACTCTAGTTCGATTCTAGCTCGGGTCAAGTCCGACTCAAGTCCGACTCAAGTCGACGGACGTTCGACGAAGCGCCGACGCATGCGTGCGAGGGGCTCCAGGAGGTCTCCAGAACGAGCACCAGCCACAATTGTGCACAAGCGCTGACTTTCGGAGGTTCGTGCAGTCTCTCGGGCCAGCGCTGGGCCCACTTTGCGGCGCCTCTGGCGCTGCCCATCGTACGCTCCGCGCGCCAAACTCCAATCGGACCTCCGACAGTTTGTGCCCATGCAGTTGTTTTTCCTCTGCTCTGGGCGGCCCTCGGAGGGTGTCGGCATCTCTGCGAAGTGGCGCGGAGGGGGGCGCCGCCGCCGCCGTCGCCGCCGCTGCAGCCGTTGTCGACGCCGCCGCCGCCGTCGCCCTCACCTCACGAGATAAATCGAAGAAGAAAGCATGGGAAACTAATGTAGACCTCCGCAGCTCCGCGCAGATTTTTGGGATCTGGGCTGGAGCCCCCTGGCGGCGCCGGAGGCGCCGCCCCTGGCGCGCTCCGCGCGCAAGAGGGGGGGCCAATAAGAGCTCAGATCCAAGAACTCCGCGCGGAGCTACGTGGATGTTATTTTCTCTTCCTCCCACATCAGCATGCAGATTGCCGGTCCCCTTCCTCGTTCTCGCTCTCGTGGGCCTCCTGGGGGGCCTTCGTCGCCGCGGCTGGGTTCGCCGCGGGATCCCGGCGGGGACGCACCTTGGGAGTGGTCTGCGGAGTAGCGGTATCGCTACCCTGTCGTTCCCCCAGCAATGTCGTCACCATCGCCGCCGCCGTCGTAGGCGACGAAGTTGGGATAGATGCTTCTCAATGTTCGGCCTCTGGGGCCCTTCTTCTGGCCGGGTGTCCGTCAGAGATGTCAGGAATAGATCCAGAGCGATAATCTGCACACGATAGACCTTGTGAGGGGTCTGAGGATTATGTTTAACGGATTTCGGTCGTCGTCGTTTTCGCCGCGGCTGTCGCTGTCAACGCTGACAGTGTCAAGCTCCCTCCCAGATTCATCAGATTCGAGCACAGGTTGGTCACGAATTTCCGTTTCGCAAATGTTGCTCTCGTGGCCAGCCAGACGAGTACGGGCTTCCCGCCGCCGTCGTCGCCGTCGCCGTCGTCGTCGTCGTCGTCGAAGTTCGAGGCGTATTTTGTTGTATTATTTCATGCCTTCCAGAGGTCGTTTTGAGGGCCAGAGCAGTCAACCAGTTTTGATGAATCATGCTCAGGATCGATCCCGAAGGTGTCTGAGGACCCATTCTGAGCGCATTTCGGTTGCCGTCGTCGCGTCGGTGCCGCCGCCGCTGTCGACGCCGCCGTCGCCGTCAACGCTCGCAGGTTGTTGCCCTCTCCCTCCCCCGCTGGGAAAGTGAGATTCGAGTGCGGGTCGGTTTCCATGATCTCCAGCCGCGCTTGCCTCCTCCAAGAAGTTCGGGTCGGACGATCGGACGAGGGGGGGGGATAATTAGGGACAGGGGTGTTACGCAATCTGCTGCATGCAGCTGGTTCCGGCTCCGCTGCTGGGCGCTTTCCTCGTTACATTAGCGCCAAGAGGTGCCGGAAAAATCAGCTGCTGATTCGTCAACTCCCTCTTCACTAACAACCCATTGTGTCCGACCCGGGCAGTATGACATTCGAGCGCAGGCTGGTTTCCATGAGCTCCGGCCTCGCTTTGCCTCCTTTCGGGCTCCACCCCGCGATATCGGGGGTTGCGGGGGTCAAGCCTGGCTCGAGGTCTGCCCCTCCGCTCTGCGCGCCGCTTCTCAACCGCCGCGGGGCCCCCGGCGGGGCCCTGCGGCGGTGCCTGGGCACAGGCGGGGGGCGTCCGAGAAGGGGGTTGATGACCAGGAGGTGTGGATGCCATGGCCGGGGCAATGAGATCTCCTGCAATATTTCCTGGCATCGCTCGGACGTGTGCATTTTTTCTCGGCGAGAACCAGTGAGGACGATCCTGGACCATCGAGCAAAAAAAACACGCACGAAACCGAAGAATGTACGGGAAATGGACGTCCGAGCGATGGCGAGATTTCGTGTCAGTACATCCGCTGCCCCCTCCTCGCCCGCGCGCACGCCTCGCGCCATGCTGCGTGCGCCCCTCCCCCCTCCCCAAATTTTCCTGGCCCCCCTCTGCGGCGCACCCAACAGCGCGCCGAGACGAAGCGACCACGACGCGCATCCGGGCAACACCGGTTGCCCCCGCCCCCCAGCCCGAAGTCGAGGGGACTGGCCGCCAGGAAGCGCGCAGGGTATGTATGTCTCTCTGAGTGTGCATGTGCATGTGCATGTGCATGTGCATGTGCATGTGTATGTGTATGTTTATGTGTATGTGTATGTGTATGTGTATGTGTGTATATATGTATGCGTGTACATATATATATACATATATATTTATATATACATATATGTATAGATATATATATATATATATGTATGGGCACCTCGGCCTTGGGCCTTGGGGCAAGGGTGCCAGTCAAACGTATCACGCGTTCCTGAGTCGGGTTGT